GAGCGCGAAAGCCTTGAGCAGCATGCGCAGGATTTCAGAGGAAACGAGTGCACGAACACCCGGAGCAAAACGCATTGTGAGTGAGTCTGGTGGTGTGACACCTCCACACAAAGGTTCATGCATCGATACGGATCGTCGCCTCGGCCGCCATCGCCATCGCCACCGCCGCATTGTCCCCACACCGCGCGAGACACGCCACGATGTCGCCATTCGCACTGACAATCGCCACGGCCCCGTTATTGTCTTCGTCTTGGGCAACTCGCGCAACGAAACTGCAAACGATGGTGCCGACGTACTTACCGTGTGACAGCCACTTGTTGCCGAGCCTACGGGCGGGTCCAAACCCACGAGACCCGGGTTCGAATCTTCGCGTTCTCGTTTCCAGTCAGAATCTCGTTTCGTGTCGCGTTCTCGTTTGGAATCTTGCCGTCTGGGGTCTTGCCCTTGGTCGTCACAGACCGCGTCTGGTTCGCAAGTTGTTGCGCCGCCGGCGTCCTCTAGACTCACGTCGTAGCAAACCTGCGGCAACAGCCAGGGCCCGTGGCGACTCCAGAAAACGAAAATGAGCGACGACGACGACAGTTGACAGTGGAAGGAGAGTCCGGCGAACTCATGTGTCGCTCGCTCGCCTGGGCGCACGCTGAACTCACACACCAGTCGCCGCCGCCGGCGAGCACTTGAACGACGCATTATTTAATTCAGCCTCGCGGGAAATCGCGCACCTACCAAAACGTACACGGTTTCAACAAAAAGACCCACGAGACGAGCTACACAACCCTTGACCACGCAGCCTCACTTCGGGCATGTTCATGACGGACCCGCGGGTCACTCACAACAAACCCACACACGACGGACTCACCCACGAGTCACTCAGTCAATCGGGATGGACTCGCTCGAGTCACTCGGTCGGGCTCACGACCAGACCTCCGGACTCGCGCAGCTTTTCGAGGAGCTGTAGACAGGTGGGCCGCGAGTTGAATAGCAGCCGCAGCAAAGGGGAGGTCTCAGGAGCAGTGTTCTGGTCCTGGTCCTGGTCCTGGAGTCGGTCGTCCTCGTTTAGAGCGGACTGTTTCTCCCGCTCTTCGGTAAGATCTAGAGCGACTATGTCTGCGGCAGCGAAGTAGTTGGGATGGAAGGGCGGATGGAGGGGGCCCGTCGTCTCGTCCCCGATGCGGACGTATAGCGTTTGCGGGACGGGATGTGAGCGCCAGAGCGGGTGGCGCGCATGCGTGGTGTGTGCGTCGCTGCGTGCGGCGAGACGCCACAGCGCGGCGGGCGTGGTCACGAGGAGGTGCGGCCCCTCCTGTTGGAGCGGCTTGCTCTTTAGGAGCGGCGCGAGGGCGGTGCGTAAGGGAGGTTGGGCTGCCCGCTGGAGGAGACTTAGAACCCGTCGACACGCGTTCGAATCCCAGAGGCGGCGGTTGAGTCTAGGGTCTGGTCCAACTGGCAGCGTCTGGTACGAGACGGTAAGGCAGAGGAACCTCCCGAACTCTAGAGAGTGCCCGCCGCCGCCGCCGACCTTACAACATACCACCACGCGATCCGCACCGGCTACACACTCGGGTGGGAGCTCCACGCGCGTTTCCAACTCCCGGGCACCCAACAGGGTCGCGGGCACCGACACGTCCATCAAGTCGTACTCATCCCACAACGTCTCCGGCAATACACGCTCTGTCGTGCGTGCGTCCGTCGTGTGTGAATCCGTCGTGTGTGAGTCCGTCGTGTGTGAGTCCGTCGTGTGTGAGTACGACTCGGCCTCCGCGGGGGGGCCGCGCAGCCCCCTGTGCGTCTTGGGCCGTTGTTTCTGGTATGCGAGTCGCGGCACCTCGACGTGTTGGACATCAAGACGCGGGCCGGCACGCCACTCCGCGGCCGGACCGGTCGTGGTCATCGGCCGTGAGTTGAGTTCAGCGCTGGAGTGCCCGGTCCCCAAGCCTGCCCCATGGGGGGTGGCCCCGGTCGGGGCCGGGGTGTTCCCGACGGGTAGTTTCTTCTTGAGGTAGAGCGCGTAGAGAAGGCCCTTTTGGTTGCCCCATAGTTGGTCGTGCCAGTAGAGCGCCAGTGCGATTCGATCCACGGGGTGTGGGATGTCGAGGATGGGGATAAGCACATCGCTTCGAAGGGCCGTGCTCCAGCCCGTGGGGGTCGCCACAAAGACTTCCGAATGCGGTACGAAGCGGTGCGCCTGGCTCACGTGAAGGAAGCGCGAGTGGCGCAGTGTTGGTAGCCAGCGTGCACTCTGGACGAGGTCGTGAACGGAGAAGAAGCTGAAGATGCGCAGCCAGACGGCCGCCCAGTCAGGAGGCGGCGGCGAGGTCGTGCGTTCGAGTCCTAGCGGCGGCGGCGCGGCTCGAAACGTCTCGACCGCGCCGCTCCGGTCCCGGACCGTGCCCAGGTCCGTCAGGGTCTCCGCGGCCGACCGCGCCGCTTCCGCCTCGTATAACCACGGTCGACCCGCGACGGTGCGGAACCCGAAGCGATGGAAGCACACGCCACGCCGGCGACAACCCCGCTCCAGACAGAAGCCGGCCCCCAACTTCAACAGGTGCTGAGACCCCTCCTCCGACCCTTCCGTCGTGTGCGAGTCCGTCATGTGTGAGTCCGTCATGTGTGAGTCCGTCATGTGTGAGTCCGTCATGTGTGAGTCCGTCATGTGTGAGTCCGTCATGTGTGAGTTCGTGTCAGACGGCACGTCGGGAGGGAAGCACTTGCGGAAGAGGGCGGCGTTGAGTCGGTTACAGTAGGCGTACGGTTGGTAGGGCGTCTGGGCTGAGCGGTTGAGGTTGCTTTGCTGCGTCGGCCGAGTGCGGAACAAGTCGTGCACGAGGTAGCTGGTCGGGAACTGCTGCACCCAACGCACACTCGGTACACCACACTGGCTCTGAGGACTCGCCGGCCCCACTGGCCACTCCCGCTCTTCCCACGCACAGTCCTGCAAGTCCCACTCGTGTTCCATTTGTAACGAAAAAGCTATACCTGGAGACACAGCCACCGAAAGGGGAAAGACTCCACCGAAAGGGAGGGTGCCCCCCTGGAGGGGGGG